TCACAGGCACAAAAGCTTAGGCCAGGGGGGGCCAATTGTATCCGCAAAGGGCCGGGGTTTATGCAGGTTTTCATTGCAACTGCCTAATTAGAGGACTGATTGGCCGAAGAGTCCTCACACCTGGGTTTGGACAGCTGACCTAAAGGTTATCCCAAAAACCTGCATACACACCAGCCCTTTGTGGATACGATTAGCCACCCCTGGCTTAGGCCACTGAGACAAACACTGTTTTTCTGCAGATCCAGACATTTGTCAGTGCAAATTCCATGGCAGAGTGATCATATGACTGTGGAGCCCTTGAACAAGGCTTAAATCCCCAAAGTATCGCATGAATAGATGTCAGGTTTCCTAAACTTAATCCTTCAGTCACAATCATTTACAGAGCCCCCAAAATAAAAATTAAAAAAAGGCATATAAAGAATACAGTGGAAACCGCTCATAGTGATCACTGTTATAGTAATCAACTGCTTATATGGATCAAAAAGCTTGGGACAAAATGACTCCTGTACAAGTACTGTTTAAAGTAGTCCACTTACAGTGTTCGTTTTGTGGTTTGTTTTATACATTACAACTTATGGTGGAAAAAATTTAAAAGGTAACAGTAATTCATTTTTACTTTAATTCGTTAGTCTTGCGGTAATTCGTCTGCTTCAAGGTAGCCACATAAGGCTAATGCTGCATGCACAGAAAATGTGACGAGGAAAAAGAAAATCATTTTCTCTCAATGATGAATATAGACTCAAAGCTTATGATTAACTACCAAAAACGAGCCAACAAGATGCAGCAGCGAAACTACAATAAGCTACATTTTATGTACAGTTCTGTATGGTATCATAGTATTTGAATTATACACAGTTCAGTAAAGTCATACAGTACTGTAATTAGACACACCACAGGCGTTTCAAATGTTGATTTAGAAAAAGTCAAAATTCAGTAAATAGTGATGCTGTCCGTTTTATCTGAAATTCACGTAACAAATATACAAATGTCAAATAGATGGTAAAATACCGGAGACAAAGAAAAATCTGTTATAATGATCTGCTTAAAGTGATCAATTTCACCCAGAGAGACGTGATCACTTTAAGCGGTTTCCACTGTATTTTGGGCACTTCACAGGCTCCATGTTAATTGCGATAGACTTTAAACTACTTAATTGTCACTTTACACATCGCTCTAAACCAAAAATTCAAATTATTTGATAAAATTGGTTTATTGCTCTACTCTACAGCCAAGTACAGTATATTTCTTAAACCTAATCCATTGACCCTATAACATACTATTCCAGTCAATGTCCCAATTAAAAAGCTTTAACTATGAACTGAGTCACACAAGTTCATTTACATGTTCTCAAATGTCACTGAATACACCAGTGTAATTTATCAGTAACTATTCCCTGTGTGAATCTGCTCGTGTCTCTTTAGGTCTCCTAAACTGCTGAAGCCCTTCCAACACTGGGAGCACTGGTAGGGCCTCTCCCCTGTGTGAATTTGTTGGTGTCCCTTGAGGTTTCCTGAATCACTAAAGCTCTTCCCACACTGGGAGCACTGGTAGGGCCTCTCCCCTGTGTGAATTCGTTGGTGTCTCTTGAGGTTTCCTAACTCACTAAAGCTCTTCCCACACTCAGAACACTGATGGGATGACTTCTCCATGTAAGTCTGCTTGTTTATTTTACAGCCTCGGTTTATACTCGGTTTATATATCTTCATACTCTGGGAACCCCGTCGAACCGTCAGTGTGTCTGTGTTTGCTTCTTCCAGGGTACTGAGCATGTCTGTACTGAGCTGAGGAGCACTGGGGCCAGCAGACACTGCTGAATGCTCAGCCGTGTTTACTGATCCAGGCCTCAGTTCAATGACATACTCCTTAGGGTGAGATTTTTTGATATATCGGTGCAGACCAATGTCTGTGGTATAGAATGGACTCTGAAAACAAGCGATGATTTGGGAGGATTCACCCGCTCTCCTTGCTGGGGGCAAGATAGAGACAAGTCACTCAGTACTGAGATGGGACAGGGTTAATACAAAGTCAGGAAAAAAGCGAATAAGAAACACAGACATCTTCTAAAGAGCCTTCATTACTACATAAGCAGTCCATATTCACAGTGTGCTGTTGCTGCTGCAATCTCTGCCATGCCTGAACTGCACAGAGTAACAACACTGCTAGTTTGAAATGGCAACCTGAAGCACAGAGTATTACCTCCAAATGTACCAAAACAATTGCAGGTTTGATGGTATACGTTAGTACGGGGGTGCCCAACTCCAGTCCTGGAGGGCAGGAGCTCTGTGTAGCTTAGTTCTTTCCATGTTCCACCATAAATGATTCAGCTCAAGAGCTGCGTGGTAAGTAGCACAAGGAGTTGAATCAGATGTGTTATATGAGGGGAAACCCAAAAATGTGCAGGGCTCTGGTCCTCCAGGACTGGAGTTGGGTACTCCTGCGTTAATAGGTAAAGATCACCTGGGTTTGGAGGTTTCACACACTGTTTGCCCCTGCTATCAGTGACTAACAGAAGAGAACCAGTCAGCTCCTCCTCAGTCACATCCTGAACCACTGCGCCCTTCACCTTCTGTCACAAAAAACAAACAAGGCAGAATAAGCTGTTCACCTCATAAAATTATACAGCTGGTTCTACTGGCTTAGACAAACAGAACAGCAGAAAGCAAAATTACTTAAAGGTTAGACATTAAACTGAAATTGTCTGGTGTGACCTACCGTTGGCCACTTTTGAAATGAACATACACAAATTAAACCACCTCAGAATGGACAAGTGACATTTGTGAAGAGACCCACATACACTTAATTTTACCTTGTAGGTGCTCTCGTTCTCAGTCCCTTCAAACTCAGATATCAGGTATTCCCTCTCCTCTTTTTTAACCTCTCCGACACCCCACTGGGAAAGTTTCTGGTTTGGTCAGCAGCTGGTTTTACTGCAGGAAGGCATCTGCTGAAACCAAAATGAAATTAAATTCAGTGAGACTGTGCCAGTTAATCAGTGTGTTGAAATGCACCATAACCCTTAACCCCACTTAATAAAGTCACCTTGACACTTTTTAAAACAAATGACACTTGACAACAGCCATAAACATTAACATTTTGTGTGTCATGTGACACACACACTAAGACAGACACACATTCTCATACACACAGACTAAACAAGCACCTGACTTACAGTTCAGTCGAACTCATGCATATCAGGGGTGGATATACCACGACTGTTCCCCCTGTAGTCATGTCTATGTTAGGCAGATTGCGGCTTCTGAGAACATTGGACTGGCGAGGTAGAGCGCAGCTGCTAGGAGCTGAGTGGAAGCGGTGCGCTCAGAAACAAGAGGTGAAGGTGGTGAAGGCAGCTCAGAGGCTGGTGTGGAACAGCTTACTCACCACCACTAACATTTACACCATCAGATGCAAGAGAAGGGCTTTTTGCATTGAGGGACCCCACCCACTCAGCAGGAGGCTGAGCAGCATCAAGAGTAGGACCAGACTGTGTAATGCGTATGAATATTCATTTACTCATTCAGTTTTACTTTCCTTAGAAATAAAGAATAAGCAATATTTTCTGTAGTTAATACAGGGTTCCCCCTGGAGTTTGATTTCAATTCTTCACTTTTCTTTGTATTTTTGCATCCGTTTTTTTTAGTCACTCTCTCGCCGCTTCTTAATAAATTAATAATTAAACTCACTGAATATACATCTCTTCTGACAATCACACTGTGATTGGTCAACTAACAGCATGGGCGAGTCACGAGTCTACTTGATAAGGTTGGGAGAATCGTGAATACTGTGTAAAACGTGCTGGCGTGCTGAAAACATGTTGTATAGTACGCATTTCGGAAATTATGTTCTAATT